GTTACTCCCTTACTGAAAACCTTCAGTGGCTCTTCGGCAATCACAAGATCAAGTTCAAATGTCGCTGTCTAGTTTTCATCGCTGGACAACATACGGCCCCTTTGCCCAGCTTACCTAACTTCCCTGTTGTTTAATCGTCTCTTTCTGCCACAGCTCTCTCTCCCTGCTCCTTCCTGTCCCCTAAATGTGCTGCGTTCAGTTCTCTCTCAGGGGTGGTGGTGCTGGGACGGGCTCTGGAGCTAGTCAGTCCAGTTTCTCATCCCAGACCCACCACCAGCCTTTGGCAGGTTCCTTCACCTTGCTGAGGATCAGCTTCCTCCTCTGAAATAACCCCGTATGTTGGTTGGGAGGATTGAATAAAATAACACGGAAACCCACTCTCCTTCCTGAGGGCCTCTTCAAACCTACCGTCTACAGTGGTGCCTGACACCTGCTCCCTGGGCTCATATTTCTTCTTGTCTCTGCTTTCCTGAGGCTTAACCAATCAGGGCCTGACTTGAATCTTGTCTCTTTCATGGAAACTTCTGAGCTGTTCATGACCAGTGGATCCCACCCTTCCATAAATCACCTCGCCCATGTGTTAGCATTTAGTCATGTGCCAGCCCTCTCAGTGAGACCCCATAGGGCGGCTTGAAGGATATTGGCTCTGTGATAACTGAGGGGTAATTCAGTTAATTCGTCTGTTAGTGCTTCCTGAGTGTTGAAACTACCTTCCCCTTTCTCCTGTACCAGCCGTCCAGACCCTGGTGGTCATATGGACACTTTAGGGATTGCTGTTGTCAGGGTCCTTCTTGCCTTTGGGTTTCAGTTAAATTCGTGTTCCCTTTTGCATGTTGTCTGATGGCCCCTCTAAGGGAGGGACCGATGAAATTGCTTTATGGAAACCCCAGAATAATGACTCTAAGGAAGCTGAGCACAGTGTCTTATTGCTTCAACAGCCTGGTAGCAGAAGATGTGTACACTTTCCTATTTCATGAAATTGACACCAGGGTCTTTAGTCTCTTACTTCAGAAGAGATTAAGGACAAAACACCAAGTGGGGAGGACAAGATTATTTAACCCGGGGGGTCTCGAACCTCTGGCCTGGATTCTGTGAATTGTTCGTTCAGGTACCTGGAAGTGTGCAACTTTGCCTACGTGGTCATATGTTTATATCACATAGTTTGTAATCGTTTTGGCCAGGGCAATTAGGAGTTATGTCTGGCTTATGACAATAAAATTACATGATTTGTGCTTTCCCTGCAGCAAAGGCTTCTCTAAGGTCTGGAGAGAAAATAGGCCAGGAGGGCTGGACAATTCATTTAGTGACCTGCCTTGTCTTGTTATTGGACAGCAGTCTACTCACCCATCGCTTTCTCAATCAGGGGATTTTGGCCTTCCCTTTCCCCTGCCGTGAGTCCAGGTATATTTATCTATGCCTCAAATTGGATGTTCTTTTAAAAGAGAGGTCCAAGGAATGGCTTCCTAGCTGATTTCTGGAATTCTAATTTTCACTGTGTAGGCTTTGATTTCCAACGCTGGATGTTGGTTAGAATGACCTGTAGGGCATATATATATATACTCACACACACATACATAACATGTTTTTTTAGACAGGATCTTATTCTGTTGCCCAGGCTAGTGTGCAGTGGCATCATTAGTGCTCACTGCAACCTACAAATCCTGGGCTCAAATGGTCCTCCTGCCTCAGCCACTGGAGTAGCTGGGACTACAGGCATGTGACACTATGCCCAACTAAGTTTTTAAAATTGTTTGTATAGACAGAGTCTCACTATTACCCAGGCTAGTCTTCAACTTCTAGGCTCAAGTGATCCTCCTGCCTCGGCCTCCCAAAGTGCTGGGATTACAGGTGTGAGCCACTGTGCCCTGCGCTCTAGGGCATTTAAAATGCACAATGCCTGTGCTTACCCCAAGACAGTCTGATTTCATTGGTCTATGGTGTGGCCCAGGCATTGGCAGTTTAGGAATGCTTCCCAGTGAAACAGTCATTTCACAGTGGAGGGACTTTAGCCTCGTGCTCAAAGTTAGCACCCCCAGTGATCAGCGGTATCCACACCCTGGGCCTCCCAATATCATGGACTGAGAAGGCCCAGCATCTGTTCAGTGGTTCCTGCCCAAACGGTGTAAGCCGAGTTTAATCATGAGGAAATATTAGATAAGCCCAAACTGAGGGCCATGCTACAGAATAACTGGGCAGTATGCTTCAGAAGTGCTAGGGTCATCAAGGCAAAAGAAATTCTGAGGGACTGTCCCAGGTTACAGGAGACTAAGGAGACAAAACAACTAAATGCAACGTGTGATCCTAGATTGGGTCCTGGTTCATAAAAAGGACATTGGTGGGAAGATAGATGGAGTTTGAATATGCTCTGTACATTAATTAGTTGTGCGATGCCCGTGATAATTTATTGATTTTGAGGGTTGTACTGTGGTTATCTAAAATGTGAATATTTGAGGAAGTTGCGTAAAAAGTATATGGGGACTCTCACTACTTTTGAAACATTTTTGAAAGTCTGAAATTATTTCAAAA